ATGTACTGTCAGTTTATGGAAGTCATATTTACCTGTGCTAATAATTCTGTTTTGTTCTCCACTCCATAGATTCCAAACTTCTATGGAGTCTTCTTGGCACTTTCCTAAATCTCTGCGTAGGAGAATGTGTCTTATCAAGTTTTCAACAACAGGCATGTTCTGTACATGTGTTCAAAACTGCTTTTCAGAAAATTAAACGTAGTCCTGTATGAGATCATATATTGTTCACCTCTAGAGTCCTCTTCTCCTTCACCCAATTGCTCTTCTTATTGCTTTTGGAAAGTTCAGGATGATCTTAGTTTTCTTGACTTTTTTCAAATTGTCCAGATACAACACACTTCCATTTAATGACACTTTGAGATATAGTGAATCCCTCAGTAATTTATAAATGAAAAAAAAAAAAGCTTATTAAACATCTGCAGATGTGATATCGTTAAGGAAGAAAAACCAGGGTGTGTAACACCACCCCTTCTTGAGAAGATCCCCTACTCAGGACAGTCTTCCATATCATACTCCCAGTCCCAACAGGGTAGAAAAGTGCTGCTGGAACACAAAGAAACCAAGAGAGTGTAGGCAGAAGAGCTCACTTGCCTGCCATGAATGCACAACTTGATTTTGCAAAACAAGCCAGGCAAGAGCATGCACATGATGGTTCAGAAGACTGGGTGGTTTTCAATGGTCACCTCCAGGCTGTAGGCTGTGGTAGAATCACCGGTGCGCAAGCAATCCCAGCAAACGATTCTGGGAAATGGAGGTCTCTCTCCCATTCATCCGTCTCAGTGTTATACACCTGTACAATGCTGGTAACGTTGTTCAGGTGCCAGTTGTATCCCCCTACAACGTAGATCTTCTTCTCTAGCAAGCAACAGCCAGCCTCAGACTGTCCTACCCGCATTGGACTTACCATTGTCCACTGGTTGGCTTCTGGTACATAATACTCCACTGCCAAGACATCAAAGCAACGATCGACATGGTCCATGCGGCCCCCGAGGGCATATATCTTATTATTGGCACTGACCATTGCATGCAAGACCCGTGGTTCATTCATGGGAGCTTTGAACTCCCACTGATCCAGGGCAGAATCATAGCAATGCAAAGCTTTTTTGTCTTCTACTGATATTCCATACCCTCCTGATATATACAGCTTGCCTCCCACTGTGGCCCCAGCATGACCCCACGTCCTGCGCTTGAGGGGGCAAACATAGCTCCATTCATTGGTTCTGGGGCAATATTTTTCCACAGATGCCAAGCTACCAGATCTGTTCCTGCCCCCTGTGGCATAGACCATGCCACACAACACATTCAGCTGAAACAGGATCCTGCTCTCTTGCATAGCCTGAATGCGCAGCCACTGGTTCAAATGTGGATCATACCGGTAGCAGACGTCAAGTGCTCCCTCACCGCTGCGGTACTGCAGATGTTGTCCCCCAACCACATAAACAAAGTTATCCAGGACAGCCACACACGTGTGGCTAGTCCCCACCTCCATCTCTGTCAGCTCCTTGAATTGGCGCGTGCTGCTATCGAGCAAGTAGTAGACTTTGCCACTTACAGTCCTATCATTGTCCGTGTATGGAGTGCCACCAAAAGCTATGAGAGAAAGGACATCTGAGCGAATTGCAGTTCGGGGAGACTGCATCTCATGCTGCCGAAAAGGCAATATTTGATAGTTGAAAGCTTCTAAGAGGTACTGCCGGCATAACACATCCTCCACCATGATGTCAAAGGTTTGGACGCTGTCCACCAGTTCCGAAGATTTCATGAGCGGGAAGCGAATGTGGCAGAGGACCTGGCTGGCATTGCTGCAACGCGTTGGGTCATACTGCAGCCATCGGATGGCGGCCCGGAAAAGGTCAATCTCACTGCAGCTCTTGAGCTTGTTGCTTTGAAGGAAGAACACAAGTCGCTCCAAAGGAAGGTGCAGAAAGTCTTCTTCCTCGGAAATCTGAAGGAAATGCCGGAAGGTGAAGGCATCGACTGACTCCTTCAAGGAGGCAAGGCTGAATGTGGTAGCCATTTGCCCAATGTTAAGGCAAGTCTCAACACTCATGGCAGATTTCAAGAACTCCTCACACAGCTCCACCACTGGTACCATCTGCAGGAAGACTGCTGCTCCAAGCACATCCTGGATGCAGTCAAGATCAAGGGTGACTTCGGCACTATATGCAAACTCTATGATGTGCTTCAAGCCTTTGGCAGAGACACCTTTCAACTCAATCACATCTTGATTGCTTTCTCTCATCCCGCCAGTGAACATGGCTCTAAAAGATCAAAGAACAGGAGACAAAATTGATCAGAGTCATCATTCCTAGACATCAGCAGGGAGAGTCTCCCCAGGTTGCCAACCAACCAAGAAAGCTTGCAACAAATAACTCGCCTTTTCACTGACTGATGCATCGAGGTAAATTACATATGTGAATTCACTTTGAGATTGTTTTTCTCAATGAATATGCAGGCTTAAATTGTTATAAATGAGTACCAAAATATAAGTTTCCTTCTCTGAACAATGGCTAAGAACTCCCTGCCCCAACCCTTCCTTGTTTTCACCACCTCATTAGACCTTCCAGAAGCATCTGGCCTGTGCAGATGTTAAGTGTCTTTATGATTCTGTGAAACTGTTGATGATTCTTTTACCTCTTCTGAAATTGCTGCCTTTTTAAATGAACCTTTATGAGTTTTGATTTAGTTTTATGCTAAAAGCTGTCTCAAGTGTCTCTATTAAAATAGAACTGTAGGAAATGTATCAGCATAGGAAGCAGTAAAATACATAGAGATGCATCCTACAGAGACCTTCTGTGATATGAGAGGAAATCCTAGGTGAAACTTACTGATTAAAAAAAAGAGAGAAATAGAAGCTGAGCTGCTTTAATGGACATAAAATAAGAACATAAGGACCACCTTGCTGCATTAGGGTAATGGTCCATCCAGTCCTTCATGCTGTATCTAAAGATACCTTCAGAAAGGTAGAAGAGCAAGAAGAATTCTCTTTCACAGTTGCCCATTTATAGCTGATATTTAAGGTTTATGGCGTTGAGTCTGAATGTAGTAAACAGCCATCGAGACTAGTAAATCCTTTTTTTTAATAAAAATTTTATTAAGTTTTCCAAAGAAGTTAAAATACAGAAAAATCAAGAAAAAAGGAAGGGAAAAGAAAAAGGGGGGGAGAGAAGAAGAGGGGGCATAAGAAAGAAAGAGTAGCTTCCAACTTTCCTGGGTACAGGTATAGATAGAGAATATATTTGCCTTTTACTCTAATATCTAAACATTTACGTAGTAAAAAAAAAAGTTTTTAATCTAATGTTCAAAATGATTCCTAAACATTTATCTGTTTGAATAATACATATGATTTGTACAAGTTATTTCTATAAGTATAACATCCATCAGCAAATCCCAAAATCAAAGCTGCATTTTTCTGAGCATCAAGCAAAAAGTCTAAGAGTGGTTTCCAATTAGAAACAAAGTCAGGCAGTGCCTTGTCTTTGAGCAATGCAGTGGGTTTCACCATCTCCAATTCCACTGATTTCCATATCCATATTTCAGCAGTAGGTACAGTGGTACCTCTAGTTACGAACGCCCCTACTTACGAATTTTTCGAGATACGATCAGC